TATTTTCCCTTCCTTTCCCCTATGTTCATCTGTTTTGTTTCTTAAATTCCACATGTGAGTGAAATTACATGATATTTGACTTTCTCTTACTGACTTATTTCACTTCTTTCCACAGGTTTCTAACTCCTAAAAACCAAACACTTCATTTCTGAATAATTTGTGAGGTAGTCAACAACTTGGGTAATGTACTTGAAACACATGTGACAGTCTGTGGCAGAATCAAGGACAGAAAAACACGTGGTTGTTCCGGGCCGACCGCAGTCTGGAACTCCCTTAAAGCCATGTTCTCTATCTACTTGTTCAACATTCCTTTGATAGGAGTTAAGAGAAAATAATTTTATAATGTTCAAAATAAGGTTTTTTTTTGTTTGTTTTTTGTTTTTTTGCCGCGCACTATGACATGACATTTAAACTTATTTGGAATTATTTTAACTGTTTAAAAAAATGTCACCAACAGCTCAGCAGTATTAGTCCCCCCACACTTAACTAAACATGAATATTGCCATAAAGTCTTTCAAAGTATGGTTAAAACAATCTTTTTTGGCCGGCCAAACTGTTCTCACTTTTCTGCAACTTCTGTTTTCTTTCAATTTGTTTGTTTGCTTGTTTTTAATTTCCCGAAGCCAGTCGTTTTCTTGGGAGCCACATGAAAAGACTTTCTATCTAGATAATGTAATAAAATGCAGAATGGTGTGGTAAAGCAGCACGATACTGTCCATTAGTCGGTTTCTGGATTTTAGCTGAAGGAGAGCGGATTTTAGGAGACTGTCGCTGGCTCTGGTGGATCTTGGGGCTGGTGCTGTTGCCTATAATTATGTTGCAAAGATACCATCAGGGATAGACTGGCGCCTGGGAGGCATGTTTTTAAATGTCCACTGGAAGATATTATCTATTTCAGTAGACAATTAACATTGTGCGGTAATGTAAGGTGTCTCATGGGCAAAATTGAGATAACAGGCACCATATTTCTGATCATTTCAGCAATGCCTTTGTGTTCTCTATATAAGGCACCTTGGCCAGCTATCTCATCTGGCTCCAGGCATGGTGGGGAGGCACTGGGATGAGAGAAACCTGGGTGGGAATGTATGACCTTGGGCAAGACACTTAACTCCTCTGAGACTCAGTTTCTCTCTCGTAAAAGGGTGATAACATCAATTTTGCAGAATTATTAGAAAGAATATTGAAGTTGCAAATGAGGCCATTATTATTTAAAAGTATATGATATAGTATAATATACTGTGTATGAAAACATTATATAAATAATAATTAAGCAATTATCCTCTTTCTGTTAGCCCTAATAAATCTTACTAACATATTGCTTCTTTGAAGAGTTAGTCCAAGAGCCCAGGCCTGTTATAAAACACTGATTTCTTAAATGTTCTCATCAGAAAAAACACAAACAAAAAAAGAGGGTAAATATGTAAAGTGATGGATGTGTTCATTAACTTAATGGGGGGGGAATCCTTTCACAACATATACATATATGAAATCATCAAGTTCTATTTTAAATATTTTACAAGTTTATTTGTCAATTATACCTCCATAAAGCTGAAAAAAAAAAAAAAGCATGCTGACTGAGATGAGTAATGCTCAGCATTTACTGTATGCTGGTCGAGGCCTTCACACGTCCTGTGGTGGAAGTGTCCTGTGTGGGCAGGAGTTCCGGCAGGGGCTTTGGAGTCAGACAGACCTGGGGGCGCTGCACTAGGGCCCTGCTCTTCCATATCTGACATCTCAGGAACACGGCTTTGTCACAAACGTGTGTCTGTGTGTGTCTCATGAGGCCACGTTGTCACCCACTGCCCTCCAAACTCCAGCCACATGGGACTCCCTGTGGTTCCCCAAAGCTCCAGGCTCCTTTCCCTGCTTAGCGTATTGTTTCCTCTGCAAGATGCCTTTCTCTTCCCACTCTCTGCTAACTCCTATCCCCCTTGGCTTTTTCCCAGACTTCCCTGACCCTCAAGACTGGGTTAGGTGTCTTTTCCATCTGCCTGCTCCCCTAGCCACCCTCCGTGTACCCCTATGGTCATCATATTGACATTGCTTTGTCATTGACCGATCCCCCCACCCTTTAAATATGGACGAGTATCTTGGGGTTTGGTGGGTGCTAGGCACAGAGCTTGGTGCTTTATGTGCATTACCTCGCTGAAGTCTCCTAGCAATTGTAGGAAAGAGGTATGAGTGCAGATAAGGAAAGCCAGGCTCAGAGAGGGTACAGGATTCCCTAACATCACACGAGGGCAAGCAGAAGATCTGGGATCGGAACCGCCCGTCTGACTCCAAACCTTTTGTAAGTCATTGTAAATTTCTAAGGGCTTACAGGGCTGAGCACAGTGAAGGCATGTCCCCGTAAGTACTCGACAAATCAGAGCTGTTATAATTTTAACCCAACCAGATGGTAAGCCTCTGCAGGGAAGGAATCTTACCCCACAGATGCTTGCGCCCCGCAGCATGGTACCCTGACCAAGGCGGGCTCAATGTGCGGAAGGCAAGGATACTGCACTGGCTTCTGGCCTATGTCCCAGAACACCACTCATTGTTTCTCAACAAATGACTGATGTGTGTTGTTGTTGTTGTTGTTGTTTTTATCACACATCTCTATTTAAGAGCTGTTTCCTTTTTGGTCATGCTCTGGCCCCTTTCCACTTCTGAGTGAGGAGGAGGTGGGACTCCAGAGGGGATGCAGAACCACTGCTTTCGGGTGAGACACACAGGAACCGGCAACCACCTAAATAAACGTCCTCTTTATTTTACCAAATATAATTTATCAGTTACGTTGACATTTGTCAATTCAGTTATAGTAACTATAAATAATTCTCTTAAGACACAGTTCTGTAACTTTTTAAGGATACAAGAGTAAACCAATGTTGCTCCTTGCAGCCAGGCCAAAAGTACATGCAGTCTGTGCAATCGGGGAGAGGGGAAAAGAAATGAATCTTCCGTGAAAGTCTACTTCATTTTCTTTCCCTCTCACCCTGTGGTCCTCCCTCTACTCACACACTCGGGGCTTGGGGCATGCCCACCTTCCTGTTTTTTCAGCAACGGAGGAGGCTCCAGGTCTCCAGGAGAACACAAGGGGGCACAGCCTCAGGGGCAGGGGCGCTGGTTTCGGTGCCTGTACAAGAGTGTGTGTGTGCAGATGTGTTTGGAGGTGGAGGGCAAGCTGGAAGAGGGCCTGAGGGAAGAGCAGAAACAAGCCTGGGCTGGTGTTAATGAACTCTGCCGGCCCCAGCCCCAACTACATAGCGTCTACCATTCCTTCCAATTCGAAGACTCCAGAAGGTGGCGTGGGTGCAGTCTCTGGAGGTCCCAGCCAAGGTCTCAGGATGAGGCGTGGGGCTGGGAGGAGCAAGGGTCCCTGCCCAGCCTGCCCCTGGAGATGGGCCCTTTCCACTACAGAGAGGAGGGTCAATGGGGAGGCCGTGCGTGGAGAGGCTAGGAAAAAACCTGCATCCGAACACTCACATTGGCACACATGTGAGTGTGGACGGATTTCTGATCTGGTCAGAGCAACGGGGGAGGGGGGGCGTGGATGCCGAGGCTTCAGTGTTCCCTGAAGCTTGCACTGGGCAGAGAAGAGCACAGCAGCTGGAGACGTCCAGCCTACTGGGTCTGAACCCTGTTTCGGGTGGCCGGTGGGGAGAGACGGAGGGAAGAAAAGGTGAGGAAGCGTAGTTCAGGGAAATGAGCTGCTGGTAGAGCGACGGGGCTGGGGGCTCTCGCTGGGGTTGGCACCACACGGAGGTGAGATTCAGAGGCAGAACCTGGCCTGATGACACACACCGCAAACACTTTTAGCCAGGCAACTTTCTCCGTCAGGTCGGAAGGGGCGCAAGACCTTTGTATCTGGAGAATGAGCTGAACTGAGAGCTGTTTCCCTGGCCCCTGGCACAGTACCTACCACGTGGTGGGCACCCAGTCACTACTGCTCAGTGGAAGCTTCAGACCATGCCTGCACAAGAGCTCCTCTTGGGGAGGTGGTGTATTTGTTGAATGGGTGAATGAGGGCAGAAGCCAAGACAGAGGAAACCTGCTCTCCACAGCGCGGCAGCAGGAATGATCTCAGGAAGTGACGGAGACTAAAGTGGCCACATAAAATGTCCTTGGTGGCAGTGAAACAGCCCTGGTTGCCCTCTGCCTCCCAACCATCCTCCACGTACTCGCTCCCTGTCCCTAGTCTCGGAACCCAACCTGGCAAGCTCTGGGAAAGGTGGTGTTGAGAGGCAATGAGACACGAAGATTGAACAGAGATAAACAATCGGTCCTCTGGGCCCAGGGAGGATGTAGATGTTGTTAGACCTGTTGGTGGACATGGGTCAACAGAGACCAGGCTCCTGCTCACTTCTTCCCGGATGTGACGATCAATGCGAAAAAGATCAAAAGGAGGGGTTGGTGGTGTTTATCAGGCAGTTGGGTAAGGGATGTGTTTACAATCTGAATGGTTAGTCCCCCTCACTCTTTTTGGGACAGGGGGCCGAGGATAGGGCTAGAGTTACAAGGGGCCAGAAGCAGCTATCTTTTTACTAGTGCTTTGAAGTTGGTCCATTTTTAGAAAAAAGTGTGTGTGTTTTAGGGGGGTGGGGGAGGGGAATGATACTCCTCTCTCTGTTCAATCAAAAAGAAAAAAAAAAAAAGAGAGAGAGAGAGAAAACAAAAACAAACCCAAAAAACCAGAGCCCACTCACAAAGGGTTTCTCATTAGGCCATGACTGAGTTTGCTAAAGCTAAACCAAACGTCCCCAGATCCTAGATGGAAACCCCTGCCCCAATCCACCTCACCTGGAGGCACCCACCATGAAATTGCACTTGGTGATTGTCTCAAAAAATCTACTTGTACTGCTTATCTCAGTCCATCTGTCCTGTCGGAGTTCTTGCCATACAAACTTGGCTCAATGTATAAAAATTCCCATTGAAAATAATGAGAATTCGGTATCAAAGTGAAGTCCTAGAAAGAGGTGGGAGTGTGGAGTGGGGTGGGGGAAGGAGAACAAAAGAAAAAATTCGAACAAAAGTGCAGGGGGTAGGGGGAAAGGTTGAGTGACCAGGCTAGTCCCCGACATCTGTGTCTCGGTCCCCAATGAGCCAGAGGACATGGAAGCTGAGTGCTAGGAGCCCAGTGCCAAGCAGGTCCCCCAGAGCGGTCAAGTACGGGATGGAGAAGTTGTCCGGGTCCAGGCCCCGGCCCCACATCCAGTGCACCATCCAGTCTGCGATGTACAGGAGAATCAGCACCTGGGGAGACAGAAGGGCCTGGCCTATAGCCTTCCCCTCTCTCCAGGGGGAGCCAGAGGCCACAGGATAGAGCACATTCGTTGTATCCCTGGGGAATATGCTGCGATGGTTCAGCTTGCCACCCCAGCCACCGCTTTATGTTCCTCTACTGCACAGTCACCGCCTGGAGCAGACCATCAGTGTCCCATGAGCCCTTTGCGGAGCATGATGCTGCTACTCCCCAGGACCTCCCCCATCAGCATTACATTCTGCTCCCAAATTGACCAAACGGGGGACAACCTAATCTAAGTCCTACTTATTGCAGCAATTCAGCCCTCTTGCCTCTAATTCTGGGTCATCCTATCCTTGGTTGGGTCACTCCAGTGCTTGCCGTGTGGGCCTCTCCAGGAGCCTGGCAGGGGGCTGGGGCCTGGAGCTTGCTTTTCACACAGGGATTTCTCCTCAGAGCAGAGCGGAATGAGGACAGTGTTTGAGGCTGCTGCCGGCACAGTTGTCTGAGTAACAGCTGATTATCCCAAGCTAGCTTCCTCCTGACCCTTTCCATTCTGCTGTTGTGGGCTCAAACAATGCAAGTCTAGTTTAACATGAGCCCTAGCAAAATAGAATTACGAGTAAGTCAGCCGAGTAGAAAGCAGAGAGTACATATCAACGCAAAAGACATTTTGGATTATCTGCTGCTTTATCTGTGCCCTTGCTTCCCTTCCATGTCTACAGATCAAGAATGATCTCGATTAGCCCTTTGCTAGTGGGCACAGGACCAGTGGCATCAACAACAGCTGGAAGTGCATTAGAAATGCAGAATCTCGGGGCGCCTGGGTGGTCGGTCGGTTGGACCTCTGCCTTCGGCTCAGGTCATGATCCTGGAGTCCCGAGATCGAGCCCCGTGTTGGGCTCCCTGCTGGGTGGGGAGTCTGCTTCTCCCTCTCCCTCTGCGCCTCCCCAGCTCATGCTCACCCTCTCTCTCAAATAAATGAATGAAATCGTTAAAAAAAAAAAAAAAAAAAGGAAATGCAGAATCTCAAGTCCTGCTCTTGATCTCCCAAATCAGAATCTGCACTTTAGCAAGACTCACATACACTTTGAAGTTGGCAAAGCACTTGATCTGGAATACCAGGGGAGAGTGGGCAGGCCTGCATCTTCTCTACGCTCAGCACCAGTCCTGACATGTGGGCTCCCTAAATGACCGCATCTGCGTGAGAATGAAGTGCTTTCTACCGGTAAATCTCCAACAGTCATTTGGGAGGGAGGTTTTACTCTTGACTGTACTTTGCAAAAACTGTGGTATGTAAATTCTGCCTGAAGAGGCTCAGATGCAGGAAATGGAGACCTTGGGGGAATCTGAAGCCAGAACTGATACCTAATTTTAGGCCAGCTTGGTGGTTCTCCTGTCTTCTCCCCGAGGCCGCCAGAGGGTCTGGTTCCAGCACCCTTCATGCTGCCCCTGCCTTGCACGCAGCTGCCTGGTGCTCCCAAGGCCTGCCCCCGGCCCTGCACGAGGGCCAGCCCCCCATCGCTTTGCACCCTTTCCAGCAGCTGCAGAAGAGTCCCATATAAAGAGTGTGGCCCGGAGGACTTTGGGCCATGCTCCAGGAAGAGCATGGCAGCAGCTCTCCCCTCACTGCAGCCTCGTCCCAAGGACACATGGCTGAGCCGGAGGGAGCAAAGCGATCAGGAAGAACCTCTCCAGGGCACTCAGTGCCCTGCCCTGGTCCGCCACAGGCCTAGAGAAGACCGCAGAGGTGAGATTGGGAGCCCAGGGCTAAGCCCCAGCCGCAGGCCCCTGGCATCCCTGCCCCCGCTTTCCCCACCGAGGGCACTTAACTCCTCCGTGCTGGGCAGTGCGACAGCAGGGCAAGAGCATGTGGCTGGTTCTCGGCCCAGCCCTCACCAAGATGTCCCAACACACAGCCTTTTTAAGGTTTGGGGTGAGAGGCTGGAGGACGAGCAGTCACCCAGAGGGCACTGGTTAAATGAAATTATGTACATCTACAGGGTAGAAGAACGCAACCATAACAAATCAGGGTGCTCTTCTCTTTATGTATTGACGTGGAATGATCTCGAAGATAAACTGTGCTGCGAAAACACAGGGTGTGGACAGTGCGTAGAGTATGCTACATGCGCGTAGAAAAAAAAGGAAAACAAGAAAAATTATACGTTTGCTTGAATAAATATAGAAGAGGCTTGAAGGATATACAAGACATGGACTCCATGGACGGCCGGGAGGGAAGAGGCTGGCTGGCAGAACGAGGGCGGGAAAGAAGAGCTTTCACTGTGAACCTTTAAAAAGTTTTGAACGATGGGACTGTTATTACCACTCAAAAGTCAAGTCTACGGCAATTGACAAGGTCTGATAGGGCGAGTGTGGCTCCACGGGGAGCGCGGGAGGAGGGCTCGTGAGCAGGGGACAGTGCTGTGTCTTGACCGTGGTGCTGGATGGACGGATCGACACGGGACAGAACTGCCCAGAATTACATACACACGCACACGCACACGCACATGGGTGTGGGTAAAACCGGTGTAGTTGGAGTCAGCCCCGTGGACAGTTCCGACGCTGACTGGTTGGTTTTGTGACTGTACTGAGTTATGTGAGATGTTACCGGTGGGGGAAACCGGCTGAAGAGTGCATGGGGCCTCTGTGTACATAAATTATGCAACTTCTTGTGAATGTATAATTCTTTCAAAATAAGAAGATGAAAAAAACATGGCCTAACACAAAGGGGAGGGAGTGGATTATATCACGGAACGGCAAGGCTGGACGGGGTCCTCCAGATGACCTAGTGTGGTGGTTTTGACCCTTTTTTAAGTTGTGAAACCCTTCATTCAAATGACATTTTCTAAGGAAGCCCCAGCATGCAAAACAGCCGACAGGAGCTCTGTGGCCAGGCCAGTGGGGGTGGTACCCGAGGCCCACCTGCCCAGCACCCTACAACCACCACCTGCCTACAAACCACCACGTTGGGGCCATTCCTCTCAACTGGCAAATGTATCCTGGAGGCTCAGAGAAGTAAAGCAACTGGGCCAGAGTCACACAGCATGTTGGTGATTCTGCCGGAACCACGGCCTGTTCTCCGGAGCCCCTGTCCCGTGTCTCTTGGCCACCCAGTCCCAGGACGAGAGGCGGCAGAGGGTGGGCCAGGCCCTCCCCGCGCTCCTGCCCGCCCGTACCTGGAGCAGTGCGGCTGTCATGTAGAAGATGATGAAGACGAACGTGAGCGTGGTGTGCCCGCCCTGCATACAGCTGATGGTGTAGAGGAACACCAGGTGTCCCGGAACCACAAGTAGGAAGAGGACTCGGGCCGAGCGAGAATTTACATCTGGGACCAGGGGAGAGAGAGGGGGGCGGGGGGGCGGGGGAGTGAGGAGGAGGAGCCCTGGCCCCAGAAGGCCTTTCAGGCCGGAGGTGCCCCGCTACACCCCAGGACGGCAGGTGGCTGATGGTCTCTACCGCTCCCCGCCAAGGTCCCCAGCCCCCATGGCGTCCATGGAAAGGACAGTCTTCCTGCCTGGGATCTGTTCTCCAGAGAGCTGGTGAGGCCCAGCAGAGAGGGAGAAGCTGCCCAGCCAGGGCCCAGCTGCTTCGGAGGGGAGGTTCCCTCATTGTTGGCCCCCTCCCTCCGGGGCTGGAATAGACCAGGAGGCCGGGACTCTCATTACCAGGACTGAAGAAGGTGGTACAAGGACTGGGGCAGCGGCGAGGGGCTTGCTCAGAGTTCTCCCCTGGCATCCCATTCATGTGCAGGAAGGTGGAGATGCGGCTGGCCTGCACTGCCACCAGATTGCCCCCGACACCTGTAGAGAGACAGAAGCGCTGAGGCGGGGGCAGAGTGAGGCGTGGGGAGGGCATGACACATTCACCAGTCCCCAGGAGAAGAGTGAGACTCCAAGAAGGAAGACAAAGACACCCCCCCGCCCCCCGTTCCAGGAAGTCTTCCAGGTTGCTTCTATCCTCCCCTCTACGGAGACGTGGCCAACCCACGTGCCCCTAGGGTAGCTGAGAGTTCAGGAAGGGGCACAGGCAGATCTGCACACTTAGGCAGCCTGTGCACGTGCTGTCCCACACAGCCGGGGCAACAAGGCCTTGCCCTGCCCAGCCCCTCTCCCCAGCTCTGAGCAGACCCAGGCTCCTGTGCTGGTTCTAGGAACCAAGATCAAGGGTCAGGTTTGAGCTCTGGACTCTGGTGCCTCTCCTAGGAACCGTGCTTGTTGTTGTTTACCCTCCCACCCCGACCTCTTCCCTGCTCTTCTCAGCCTTGCCTTGAGCTCTGAGAGGCTGACCTACAGACCGCATCACCCACGCTCCGTTGCTGGCTGCTTCTCATTGGGTTTCAACAGAAGCCAGCAGGACACGCTCAGAGAGGGTGGGAGGAGAGAGAGCTCAGGTATTTTTTTTCCTTATCCCTCTCTTTTTGGCAGTGGCTTACCCCTGTCGGGGGCAGAGGAGTGTTCTCTCTAGGTTCCTCTAACATTATTTTCTCCTCTTGACCCTGGAGGACAAGGGATTCCGGTTGTTGCTAATCTCTGGGTCCCTCCCCGGCTCCCCGCTCTGTGAGCAGCCCCCTTGATAAAGTCCTGAACGGTCTGAGCCGGATGCTCTTGCTGCTGGAGTCCTGACTGATACAAAGGCCCCACGTCCTTTCCTCCTGCCCCTCTCCTTTCCCCTGGCAGCTGATGCCAAGACCTCACCATTAATCACAGGCGTGAAGACAGCCATCCCTGCGAAGTTGGGGTCGGAGACAGTCTTGTCCAAAATGAGGCCTCCCACACTACACAGACAAAGACAAAGTGACACAAAGATCACCGACAGGTTGTATTTCAGTTCTGGGGATGACAGGCCCATCTGGCCTTGGGGAGCAAGGGGCTCCCAGGGGTCCCTTGTCTCCTAGTCCTTGCCTCCTTTGCCAGAACCAGTTGCTGTTTATAATACTGAGACTTGGCACAGCGCCCCCCAGAGCAAGCTGGTGGCATGGGGTCAGGCCCCTGCCTCCTGTACCTGCCCACCCCCCCCCCGCCCCCGGTTGGCTAGATTAGCCCAGGGCGAGCAGCCCACGAGGACCGCTGTTCTGCCCACTCAGTAGTCATTTCCCCTTGTGGTAACAGCACTGGGCTCTTCCCCAGGAACTACCTCTCTCAAACTCAGTCACTATGGTTCAGGTGACATTGCTCCAAGGATGGCTAGGCCCCAGCCCCATCCATTCAGAGCATCACTTCCCTGAGGCCACAGTGAGTCAGGGATAGCCCTGTGAATGGATGAGAGCCAGTGAAGTTCTCTGGTGGGACTCTGTGGAACTGTGAACTTCTTCCCACTGGAGTTAGTATGAACCTGGAGCCACAGGCCATCATAGGGAAAAGCAGAGCCAAAGAGAGATACAGAACATCGCAGCCCTGATGCCCCTGAATCCAGCTCTGCCATTTTCGTGCCCTAAGCCAGTGCACTCTGCTTTTTAAGGAAACCCACGTCAGATGGTTTCTGTCACATGTGACAGAAGGACATGGAGCCGATACACTCTGGAAGGCGTTTCTAGGCTCTGTACCACATTTCCTGTCTCCAGGGCTCAACAGGGAGGCTGTGGCGGGGTGAGGGTGTGTCCCAAAAGCCCAAGCCTACCTGCTGATGGCCATGGCAATGATGACAGGCTCCCAGCCCGAGTACAACACCTCCCTTGTGGCTGGGCTCCGTCGGGCCAGCACCACCCAGACAGGCAACAGGGCCACGAAGAAGGCACACACCAGGGGGTAGATGTATTGCCAGTCATCTGAGGGAGGCAGAGGCGAGAGGAAGGTGAGCGCTGCGGCGCCCGACTCCGGCCTCCCCTGGCTCGGCCCCAGCCACCGTGCTGGTAGATCAGCAGGAACCCCACACCAGGTGCCTGGATCATCGATCCTCCCTGCAAGTCCAGGAGAGGGGGGGCAGGCAGCCTTGTCCTTTGTGTAGATGAGGAAACCAAGCTGAGAGCTTCCCAGGCCTGGGGCTAATCGGGGGCAGAGACCAGCTTCAAACGTTCCTTGCTTGGAGCCCCAGAAATCCCTGTCTCCCCCCTCCCCCACCCATGCTGCAGGCAGATTCCAGGCTTCAGCTCCTCTCCTTCAGCCTTTCACCTTTACTCCTCCAAGGCAGGTAGGAGTCCACAGGACCAGGCAGGAATATATTTCTCAGATACTTTCCCCTGTGCCCCTGCTGCCTTGCGTGACTTTGAGCCAAGCTCGCGGCACGGGGGCGGGGGGGGGGCGTAGTTAGTACAAAACTGCGCTCCAACCACACGGTTAAGAACATAGGGGAAATCCTTACACCTTTGCAAACCCACTGCCGTCTCTCCCAAACCCCACCTGGGGGTCCACCCTGGTCACACCCTCAGTGGCCTCAGCCTCACCCCGCTCCAGGTAGAGTCCCCAGCTGATGCCTGAGAGCAGTGCCAAGGTGATGAGGTCACCCAGGCTGGCGGCAATGGGCGTGGCCACGTTGTCTGGGTTGATTCCAATCTTTCGAGAGCCAATGATGACTCCAATCATGATCATACCTGAGGAGGAAGGGGAGGGGCCGGGCGGTGTGAGAAGAGATAAAAGGGGTATCAACGAACAAAAGGAGAGATTGCAGGTGCCAGGCCCGGCCCTCCCTCCTCCCCCGCCCCTCTGTCCCTTCCTTACCCAACACCAGGGAGGCAATGAAGGCCGTGGCCACGCTGCCGGCACAGAGCAGGAAGGCATGCGGGATGCTGAAGTGGCCGTCAGGGATCCAGCCAAAGACGACGGCTGCGATGGACGCCAGGAAGCCCACGACTGTGGCCTGCACCTGAGGCGGGAGTGGTTAACTCAAGAGAGCCGGGGGCAGCAGGGTTCCTAGCGCGGGTGGCCCGAGCGCTGGGCCGGCCCTCTTCCTGGCTCTGTGCAGCCCCGGGAGGCAGGCTGCGCTGGACTGTGCAGTCCCCCCCAGGCTGGAATGATGTCTTTATTTATTTAGTTTCACACCAGACACTGGTCCTGGGCAGCACACCCCGCAGGAGCCCAGGACATGTTACTGGCTGAAGGAGCCAGTCATCCCCTCTGGGGCCTGGGGTGAGGATCAGCAGAGCCTGAGCCTTCAGTCAGGAGACAAGGCCTGGGACTCGAGGGGGAAGACTCCCAGTCTGGAACCCGTGTCGCCTCACACGGGGATTGGACAACGGTGGCCGAGGACAGTCCTGCCCTCCCGAGTCCGATTTGTGGGAACTCGAGCCCAGTGGACCCCCGCAAGCCGAGAACTGACATAGGACCTGCTGGGGCCCTCCCCGTCTTGGCCGCTTGCCTGGGAAACTTGGTTACCTCCTAGAGCTGCTTCAGGAGAGGCCAGCTCAGCAGGATGCTGGCGCCTCACTCACAAGCTGGCTGGGGCTGAACTCAGTCTTTCAGATTCCTGACTAAGGGGGAAGCTTAGCCCACCCTCTCTAGTCTCTGCTTTCTTACCTGGATGAGGGCCATGTTCCCAGTGATCATCCGCCAGAGCTCCTTGGGTGTGTCCATGTGCCCAATGTTGGCCTGGGAGAAGGAGGGGAGGCGGGGGCTGGAGCTCCAGGCTGGGAAAGGCCTGTGGCTCCATCTGTTAGGACCCTGCCTGGATCAGGGGGCAGTGAATGGGGTCTAAGACGCTGGGACCGGAACATAACCGGAACATAAGCCCCAGGGAAAGTGAAGCAGCATCACGGGGGCCGGAAGAAGGAAGGAGCTAAAGAGCCTGAGCTCCTGCAGCTGGGCGGGGGCAGAAAGGGGGCTCCCAAGCCAGCCCCCTCTCTTCTCCTCAGGACAACTGCTGAGCAGAGGCAAATTCCGTCCTGTGTGCCGGAAATGGGGAAGCCCATTTCCACATGGGTCAGAGGGACCCGATCGCTGGCTCTGAAGCCAGCTTGCCATTCTAGGGCAGGAAAGGTCAGCTGCTGGTGTGGGACTGAGGCTGCCAAAGGGTTTGGGAAGAATGAGATGGCATGGGAGTAGGCCGGAAGTCAGGCAGGGTGGGCAGGCTGGACAGGCTGCCGCTCTCTCTGCTGCCTTCTCTAGACTTGTAGCCACACGGGCCATCCCTGCCACGGCTCCCCTGGCCTCCTGAGTTTTATTGCCTCCCACCTCCCACCCCATGGCCCTATATCCGGTTCAGTCTCTGGGCCATCATGGCTGATCTACGGGGCTGTGGGCAGGGAGAGTGATAAGCAGCCCTCTCGCTGTCTATTCCCTTAATGAAGAGTAAGCTGCCATGAGGGAAAGGGAAGGGGATGGATGGGGGGCTGGGAAGGCCTGGCTCTGCTCCTGCCCAGCTGCGGAGTAGGGCTGGAGATCAGAGGAGGCCCCCGTCTGTGCAGGTGGAGGGACCAGCATGATGCTTGCCTGTCAAAGCTGCACAAACAGTCACGAGGCGGGTTGCGGAGCAGGGGGTGAGGCAACAGTCCAGGGACGGCTGGGACATCCAGAAACCGAGCCTGGGAACCACTCTGGGCAGGGAGCCCCTGTCCAGGAGCAGGACACCCAGGCTGGGATCTCCCTACACCTTCCCACCCCAGCCCCACACTCCAGGCCTGGGCGCTTGGGAAAGGCCTGCAGTGATCTCTCAGTCCGGCTCTGTGCTGCCCCAAGTCTTCTGTGTGTCCCATGCTTCCCCGCCAGGACACTCACTGCAGTGGACAGCCTCGATGCCAGGGTCATTTCCAGGTTCCCCTTAAGCCCCAGCAGTGCAGGCACCAGGATGAAGACTTCTGTCACCTTCTGGAAGACTTCCCAGTGCTACAAGGTGAAAACAGAACCCAGGAATTTCAGTGCCCCAAACGGCTGGCATCAGGTTGAACAGATAGTCTGGGATCAGAGGCTTGAGGAGGAAGTGCAATCAGCAGGGCGTGAGCACGCCAGCCGCCTTTTCTCCAAGAACCCTGGACCCAAACCAAGACCATGGTGCTCCAACAACACAGCCCCCCTCTTCCTGCCACCCAGAAACGGGGAGACATGGAGGGGCTCATCCAGGCAGGAGACCTCAGCCTGGCTTTCTGGAGGTGAGGGACAGGAGGTGAGGGCCCACACGCCTGCTTTCTGGAGGTGAGGGACAGGAGGTGAGGGCCCATATGGCTGTCACCCCAGGCTGGCTTACACGCCAGAACTCCTTTGTGATCCCCCCTCAAATAGCAATCCCCAACCTCTTTGCCTTCAGTCCAGTTTCTCCGTGGCCTCAACCTTGGGTGGTGTTGTCTCAGCTGTTGAGAGCTGGGCTCCATGGGGCTGGGGCTGAGGAGATTAGTTTGTTTGGTTTCTGTGTCCAAGGGCTTTGGGCCTCAGCCACAGCAACTCTCCTCCTCAACAGGCTCTGAATTAACACTGGGGCCCCCAAACCTCTGCGTGCTGGTTTGCAAGAGGCTTTTTATGTCTCCTCTGCAGTCCCTCACCCCACATACCTCCCCCAAGCTCTCAGGAGAAGCGAGGGGGATATACACTCACTGCAGGATATACCCCCTGCAGGAAGAGCACTGGACTAGGAGTCAGGAGACATGGGTTCTAGTCCCGGGCCTATCAGGCTTGGCTCTCCTACCAGCTCCTTCAGCCAAGAGCGGTTCGGTGCCGACTGCCTGCTAGGCTGCTTATAAGCACTCTACGTTGTACAGTTCCTCATTTCGACCGATCAACAGTCCACTCAGATGGGGGCTATTTTTATCCCCATTTTGTGAATGAGGAAAATGAGTTTCAGAGGGCACTATGCTTGTTTGTGCTAAGGGGGAAAAACCAAGGAGCCAGGATTGGCTATTTGAAAGCTACTTTAATTGCAAGTGAAACTGAAGACTGGCAAAAAAAGCCTGGGTTTGCGTCTCCCTGCCCGGTGCTGACTGCCACATGTGGGTTCCTTTATTTGTTCTTTATTTGTTTTAGGAATGGTTTGGAGAGGGAGGAGGGGGCAGGCGGCCAGGCGGGCGTATGGAGGTTGACCAGAGGGTCATGGTCAGGAGGCAGAGCGCTGTAGGTGTGAGGACACTGGACCGAGAGCCTTGGGTCTCCTACAGAGACCACAGGGATGGGCCTCATGCTACCTCCCCAGCGTCCGCCCACACGGACCTGCCTGGGGACCCCAGACACATTACACGGGGCCTCAAGCTCCTGACTGTAAAATGTACAGTTCAGGGGCCACGTCGGAGGGTCGCTAAAGGCAGTTCCAGCACTGACACTCCATAGTTAAGAAGGAGGACGGCTGCAAATCAAACCCGCAGTGAGATTTATCACCTTATGCCCACCAAGATGGCTACTACGAAGATACCCCAGAAAGCAACAAGTGTCGGCAAAGGGTGTGGAGACACCCGAACCCTTGTGCACTGTTGGTGGGGCCATGGAATGCTCCACCGACTATGGAAAACGGTGGGGAGGGTCCCCCCAAAACTAAAAATAGAACTACCATATGAGCCAGCAATCTCACTGCTGGGTATATATCCCAAAGAAGCGAAAGCAGAGTCTTGAAGAGGTATTTGCTCACCCACGTTCCTAGCAGCATTATTCACAATGGCCGAGAAGTATAAGCCACCGAGGTGTCCACTGATGGATGAATGGACACATGAAAGGTGTATACGTCCAGTGGAAGAGTACTCGGCCCTCCCCAGGAAGGACATTCTGACCTGTGCTATGACATGGATAAACCTTAAGGACATTATACTAAAGTGAAAGAAGCCAGTCACAAGAAGACAAATACTGTATGATTCCACTTATATAAGGTATCTAAAGTAGTCAAATTCATAGAAATAAAAAGTAGAATGGTCGGTTGCCAGGGGCTGGAAGGGGATTTCGTGCTTAGAGTTTCAGTTTTGCAAGATGAAAAGTTTCAGAAATGTTGCACAACAATGTAATACACTTAACACTACTGAACTGTACATTTAAAAATGGGTAAGGTGATAAATTTTGTTATGTGTTTTTTTTAACACAATAATAATATTAATACAAGATGAGCAAGGAGTATCAGAGGAGGCCAGGGCTAGGGCCAGAGACCTGGGGAGTCTGGACACCAGGAGGGCCTATAAGGTAAGGATTTCTCTTTTCCTGTCAGAAAAAGAGAAATGCGTTTTGTTTGTGTGCGTGTGTGGTGGGGAGAAGACCATACCAGGACTCTGGGGGAAGGGCTCATCTCCTTAGGGCTAGAGCACACACTTACCTGAGCTCCCGGTCTGGCCCCTCACAGGCGGAGAGCGTAGGACTCTCTTAGGGGAGCCCCTCTCTAAGACTACGGATGGGAAAGAGCCCCTCTCTAAGACTACGGATGGGAAAGAGTCCCCCCTGCCCTGCCTCCCTCTTTCGCAGCAAGTTGCTGAACTTAGAGGTACCCGCAGGAGGAGGCAGGCCCTCGCAAACGCTGGAAGGATGTGAACCCCTTGTCACTCTTGAGGTGCCCCGAGAGAAGGCGGCCCCAGCGAGCCCCATCCAGCCTGGAGGAACTCGGGCACTTTTACTCTCAGGCACGGCTGGTGCCTACCACTGGGGTTCCAGTTCCCTGCAGGCCCGGCCGGCCGTATGGGGCTGTGCCTCATCCTTTCTCCCCTAAACCGGACAAACAGCTCCAAGGAGGGGAAGACTTCCCCTCAGCTCCCCTCCCCTCATGAGGGTGGCTGACTGGGGACTTTCAAAGCTTCTCCCAGAGCACAGCCTCATATCCCCTCCTCACTGCAGACCATCTGCCCCTCCCTTGGCTCAGCGTAGGTAATGTATATGGGCTCCCGGAGTCAAGGAGCCTGGAAAGAGATACGTTAAGTGTATGCATGGAATACCGTCTAAATTGTTCGTAAGGAACATTGTTTGTCTTTGTGATTATTTAAGAAAAAGAATGTAGGAAGCGCAGCTAAGCCCCTCTCAGCCCCCCCGGGGCCCTCTGCCTCCCAGCACACACGTTAGCAGGACCACCGAGAAGGTATAGGGTCTCAGAGGTGATGAGCTGAGAGACAGGCAAGGGGAGCAAGCCGCCACAGTAGCAGCCCCTGTGCAGAAGTCTTCCCAGCCCCCACAGAATTCAGCCTGGGATCTCACACCACCTGACCAGCAGCCCAGCAACGCCCTGAGCCAGCACGTGGGTCAGAGTAGCCAATTCCTACACACATACTTTCTTCACCCACAGAACCTTCTCAAAGAGGCAGCTCAGGCGGTCTCTCTTTCTTCCTTTGGCCTAATTCAGGCCCATCCTGTTCATCTTGGCTGGGAGTGCCCGCCTGCTCCTGAAGTCAGACCTGTCAGCCAAGCCTGCACCCACGCCTTCCTGCTCTGCTGGGGATAAAAAAGGGAAGCACTGCCCCACTCGGCAGGGGGAGGGCATCCACAGACAGCACTGCTTTTCAGAAATGCAGCTCCTCTCCCCTGTCTTTCTCCGTCCTTGACAGGGGCTGCGGTTGGGGGCTCACTGGGCTCTGCTATCCCGGGAGGTGAGAAATGAGACGGTTCCCCCCACACCCCAAAATAATCCTGATTCAAAGCGATTACCCTAAGTCCCGTACCTCAGCGGCCTAGCCGGTACCTCTCCCCCGTCCTTCCCTATTGCCTCTTCCATCCCTTACCTCCTCCAGCCTCACAGACTGACTCCCGCCCGCTTTCGGGTATTCTGCCCTGAGCTCCCCTCCCCACCACACCTCCCCGCCTCCAGACCGTAGAAGCAGGGAGGAAAGTCACAGCCAGGAAAAGTTGGAATCAAGACATTAAGAAGACGAAAATCCCTAGAGGTCAGCTCTGAGCCCCAGGTTGTGGGAGGACCCCAGAAGCTGGGCTGCAGTTGAGCTTTCGGGGTGAGGACTGAGTCCGATCACCTGTCGGAGGCTTTCCCCCTGTGCAGGCATCCCAGGAGTCGGGCATCAGGGCAGCGCCTGGGTATTCAGGGCTGTACGAAGTGTGAGAAAGGAAGTGGTCAAGGAAGACAGGATCCGAGAGTCCCGCCCAGGAGCGCCAGCAGCCCTGGGAGCAGGCCAGCCAGGGAGGATGCCTCTTTCCCCTCCCCTCCACTTTCATCTTGGTAGACTCTTCCATACACACAGCAGGGCGGAGAAGCCGGAGGAGGAGGTATTTGGGTGAGGGGGTTGTCTCCTTTCCTTGGGATCCTCAGCAAGTGAGTAGTGAGTTAAAATAATACCTGTCTTAACACAGTTGGGAATTCCAGGGAAGGTTGGTCCACCACCTCCTGTCTCCCCTATCCCTCAAAAGGCTGACAGCAAAGGGGAGTGACTTCGGGGGCAGGCGGGCCCTCCCAGCCAGGATGCAATGGCCTAGGACCAGACTTGGGGGGGGGCGGGGCCCAGAGCACCTGTGGCAGATCCCTATCCAACCATATTCAACCCCCTCCAGTCCCAACATGGGGCCCAATCCTGCTTTCCTTCCTAAATATCATGGGAACTTGCAGCCACGGTGGGATTTTGGAGCAGATGGCTGGCCCTTTATCCTTTTCCTACTTTTGGCCAGTATACCAGCCCCTTATCTCACTGCCGAGGCTGGCTGTGCGCGTTGACTGGGCGAGAGGGCAGATAAGAGGCAACAGAAATGACCTTCCAGAAAGAGACTGAGTCTTCTGCAGTAGTAGGGAAAGATGGGGCGGGGGGGGCGGGCCCTGGACCAAGGAGACATCCGCACCAACTCGGACTTCTGTTCATTTGCTCTGAGACGCTGGGGACACCCTAAGGCCATCTCCTCCAGATGGCCCCAGTCTTTTAGGCACTCCCAGATTCTGTCCCACTGAAGGCCCGCTTAGCTTATGAAGGGAGGATGCAAGTGTGAAGCCCTAGAAATCATCCTGCTCTTCCTGAATCTGAGATTGTCAGCCACCCCTCCCCCGGCCCCCCGACCTTTGCTTCCCCGGATGTGGAATCAGAATCTCCCTGCAGTCCCATGTCCTGGTCTTTCTGCACCCTCCTCCTACCCTGATATCTCTGTAGCCATCTGCAGGGCCTGCTTCAGCCCAGCTGTGGCAGGAAGGTTGGGGGAGGGGGACAAGGACAAACCAGCCATTGTCATCCACATCCACGGACCCTAGCTCTGGGGTGAGTCTAAGTGCCACACAGAGGGCAATTGCTGGCCCTCTGTGGGCATGTTGGGCAGGCTCCAAAGGTCCCTACCAATGTCTCAGGCTCATGGGTGTGGGGTGGGGGTGGGGCAAGATGTCAGAAGCCTCTTCCAGCTCTGGAATTCTCCGAGTATGGGGGGAAAGGGGTGGGGATGGGGGACTGCTAAGGACCTTTGTTCTTGTCCATTTTAGAACATAACTCCAATTGTTCTGGATTCTGATCCACCCTGTTCTTCAAGGGAAGACACAGAGAGAGCAGACTCCTGCCTAAGTCTTTAACCAACTGGTGAACCATGGACATGGTGTAGGCCATAGAGGTTAACGGCACAGGCTCTGAGTCAAGATGACCAGGGACAAGTTACCTAATCTCTCTAAGCCAAAGGTTCCCTATTGACAAAATGGAGAGGATTATGGTTTCCACCTCATGGGCCCACCTCCAGAAGGGCCCAACAAATGCTCCCTATTACTGTTATTTGTATCCAGAAAATAAAACAACTGGAACCTGGCTCTATACCTCTTTGTAAGTACCAGACCAGAACCCCAAAACTCTTAAGAATGAGAATCAAGGCCACAGGGAAGAGATGGAAGAGTCTTACTTCTCCTCCTGTCACTAGGCCCCCTCACTGCCCTCGGAGGTGAAGCAGCCACTAGGGGGAGGAGTCCAAAGCCTACCTTCCCAGCTCCAGGCTGGCTTCTCAACCTCCATGAGGAACAACCCAGAAGACAGTAGGGTAGGGGAGAGGGAAGGCAGTACGAGGCACTTTGGCATGACATAAACACCATCCTCATTAGCAGCAAGCTTCTCCTAAGGGCTCAAGTCAAAGTGGTCCAGGTGGACACCGCCGACGGAACCACCTACAACCGACCACCCTCAGTTCCCTGGGACACTGGCATAGTAACCTCCATCCACCAGCAGGCCTCTCTGCATCACCGCATGCGTCCTTTGTAGGGCTGGCTTGGCACCGGGGAGGGGATGCTGAGTTCCATGTCCTCCTGGGAGATTCCATGGTTAGGGACAAACTGGGAGGTCCCCAGGGCCAAGGCCAGATCTCCTCTGGTCTTTGTATTTCTCCAAGTACCTAGGACAGAGCTCAGCACATAGCAGGAATTTGATATCTGCTAACGATTAACTTTGATAAACCTAGCGCCTCCGGTGTAACTCCACTGGGCTTGTCTTCCTGCACTTCAAAAACTTTTCCCAGGAAACAAGACTGGGGGGACCTCTTGGACCTGAAGGTTCTGGGTGAGTCCTAATGTGCAGTAGGTTACATAGCATATCCCTGGCTCTCAGCTTCCAGGTCCTGCCAATTCCCATCCTTAACTCTACCCAGTAGCCTCACAAAGAGCCCTCTTTGCCTAGTGCAGGTTCATGAAAGACAGGTAAGAAGCCAAGAGGAGAAAGAGTTCTGCCCAGGCCTGGTTACATTCTGTCCCCATTTACACCCCATAGTCAGCACTTCCAGGTCTTGCCATGCCAAACCCCACCCCACTTCCTGCCCAAATCATGCATCAGATAGCATGTGCCCACCCCTGTTCCCCAAGGAGATCGTGCCAAGGTTCCAGGCAGATAAGCAACAGAGAATGCTTTTAAGAACCTTCCCACTTAATTTGAGACCCTCTTGGCAGCCGAACAAATTCCTGCCCAGCAGGGGGAATGGAGGGGAGACTTGAAACTGAGCTTTCTATTGTGGGTATCCTTCAAACCCCAAGTGAAGGGAAAATAAAGCATAAAGAGGAGTCCCATCTAAGTGTCTCCCCTACAGAGCTGGGCTCAGGAGGAACGCCCAGGAGGGATGGCAGACAACAACCTCATTCCATCTCTCCTCCTCCAAGCCTGAGCTCTGGAACAGATTCTGCTTCTGTTAAGCAATGCTGCCCTGACCACCTCCTCAGGGCTACTGGGCTTCCTTGAGGCTTCCATAGAAAGTAACTAGACCGAGAAGAAGTCGAGGACGTGATCCAAAGGGAAACGGTTCTAAGAAGCAGCAGCTGCTTCTCACAGGGAGGTGGAGAGAAAGCTCCAAGAGTCGGTTTCGCGGGAGGAAAAGGTAGCCCCGGGCTCATGGTCAAGAGCGGCCCTCCCCAGGTCCTACCTGCACGATGTCCAGCACCATGCCAGCAGCCACAGTCCCAAAGCCTGCCAGGAGGAAGGGGAACAGCACTTGCAGCCCGATGGAAAAGGAGGTCTCCTTGAGCGGGGAGGGCGGTGCGGGCCCCCGGTCCGTGCTGACGTCATCACTTTCATTGCTCTGACTCCCGTTCTCCAGCAGGGCGTCCTCCTCCCGGACCCCCTTGGCGTTGGCCCGGGACTCAATCACCACCACCTCCACCCCGGCCCCATCAGGCCCCAGGAACTCTGAGGTCCCGGCCAAGGGCTCTCGCCCGGGGCCATCTGAAGAGCAGGGCGAGGGAGTAGGGCCAGTCCCGTTGAGCTGGTGGGCGTCCTTCGGCTCTGGCTTAGAGGACATGACGGGAAGGGAGGAGGGGAAGGGGAGCTTTCCTTTCTCTCTCCCTCTCTTTTTTTCTTCTTGCTTTCTCTCTCTCCCTCTCTAAGTCGGGAAAGCACTTAGTCTTGGGGTGAGCCCAGGCCTGGGCGCCGCGGGACCTCTTCCCACGGCTCTCCGCCCCTACCAGGTGCGGCAAACGCTGGTCCCCCGACAGGCAGCCCCATCAAGCACTAAAGCCGCGAGCTGGAGGGAAGCTAGAGACTCCCCACCAGACTCCGCAGCCAGCCACTAGGCGAGCAGAGGCCTGACTCCGGCCGGCCAGCTCGGGGCCGGGGGGAAATGTATCTGGCCTCTTAATATTCTTTGGTTCTGAGCAGCAGGGTCCTCAGAGCAGGGGGCATCCAGAGTAGAAGAGCCCAGCCAAGTCGGTGGCGCCCTCTGAGGTGGCCCTTCTTTCATGAAAAGTAGCTTGAGTTCAAATCCTGCGGAAGGCAGCCTCAGCCTAGGGCTGCCGCTCCGGCCCGTGCCCCTGGCTGGGCTCCTTCAGCTTCCCACAGCTCCTCCGGCTGCGCTCGTCCTGGCGCACTGTCTGCCGTCCTTCCCCTTTCCTCCAGAGATCTCCTTCCTTCCTGGGAAGACCTTGTCCCGCCCCAAATCCCTGGTCCTTCAAGTCACGGGAATCTGTGTGGAACACCTGATGTGGAAGGAAGAAGACAAAAAAGAGAATGTTATGACATGGCCAAGGACAGCTCATACAGGGACAACTTTCCCACAAGGCAGGCATAAAGGGTTTGCTCGTTTCCTCCTTCTTTTCACTACAACTACCCATTCCTGCCCTGTGACCTCTGGAGGCCCAGCAGGCGCGACCCCTGCCGTCCTCCCGCCCGGCAGCTCACCGCCCCACGGGGATCACCACGGTAGTCAACAGCCGCGAGATGGGGCCAGCCTGGGGATTGGGACCATGTGGCGCAGGAGACCTTGACGTTGTCTTTTCAGTGACCAGGGGTGGACAGGGATGTCCTGGGGGAGATCCCTTCTTGAACGCTCATTAAAAACCCAGGGTTATTTAAGTGTGGTCTCCCAGTGGGGTCAGTCACAAATTCAGTCACAAGCTCCCTGCCACACAGCACTGACACTCCACTGCAGAAAGTGATTGTTTATAGTCACAAGACAGCTGGGCAAGACAAATAAACAGGGAGAATCTGATCATTAAATGAAAGTCTCCAGACCCCCAAACTCCCTAGCCCCCGAGAGGGGGAAAAAACCAAACCAAAACAAAACTAGAAGGACTCCCTGGGCCATGGGGCAAGGCTGCCAGACCAAGGCCAAGAGCCAGAGGCCTACCCACTCCTGCCCTTGAGAGTCAGCAGTGTTACAAAAAGCTCAGACGCTGACTGCGATCCAGGCTTCTGTCTCTACTTCTCTCCCCCTGCTCTTGGCCCTGTGGGTTTGTCAGATAGGACAAGAGAGTTATCTCAGTTTGAAGGGGAAGAAGGTAAAACTATTGGTTATTATGAGAACATTTCAGTTCCCTAGGTTCGCCCTGTTCCCCAGGGTTACTGAGAGTTGGATATAGTGGAATTCTAAAAAACAAAAACAAACAACAAAAGCAGCAACTAAAAAAAAAAAAAAAAGTAAAACAAAGCAAAGCAAAATACAAAGCAGCATAAGCCAAAATGCACTTGCTCCCAAATGCAAGCGTCTAGCAGCAACGGCCCCGCTTTTCTTGTTTAAGGAATCCCCAGGCCCTGATCCCACTCTATCCCATTTCACCAAAACAGTTCTTACAGGGAAAAATAAATTTAAAGCGAATTTCCCTAGGTAGGATGACCAAGGACTTAAGTATTCTAGACACACACAATTAGTCAACTCCAGTTTGGGAAAGGGTGATTCAGGGTCCAGTAACTGACCCATGGGAATTGTTTTCTCTTTCTATGGGCTCAAGTCACACATCCAGATTCCCTTTTCCAATCTCCTTAAACACAGTCCCGTGGTTCTCTCAAAGACCCTCACTAGAGATCCAGAAATTGCCCTCAGGGCAGGAGAGAGTCCACTGCTCCTATGCCAGCAGTGTGTGCTAGAACTTGACCCTCCCTCCTCCTCCTGTCTTCCTGGCAGGCTACCTAAACTGAAGGGGGGCTCCCAGGAAGAGAAGCCAGTACCTCACCCCACTCCTTCCACTAAAGAGACTTCGGACGGGCCTAAGGCCCTCGGATGAAAGGAGCAAAAGTGAACCAGGATGCCCTGAGGAGGGAACAAAAAAGACCCGTTTTAGTATCTGCAAACCCAGGGAGGGGGAGAAGTAACTGGGTGGCCGCCCCCGCCTCTCCCGCATTCAGACTCAGCAAATGCGCTGCGCGCCAGGGCTCCCGCCCTCCGCCACCCACCGCCCCAGACCCACCAGGACTGACCTGCCTCTCGCTTGGGAGGAAGGGGGGCGCCTGGCGAGTGGCAGCAGGGACCCGTGGTCTCGGGGGGTGCAGGGTTCCCCCTCTTCTCATCACTCCTCCTCGGCAGTCCTCCTCGGCCCCCGGCGTGCCCCCCTCCCCCGCACCCCCGGCCAAGGCGAGCGTCCAGCCGCGACAACCCGGCTCGCTACATTTCGCCTCTGCGTTACAGCGAGGCCGCCGCTCCGCTTCCACGAGGGGTAGGTGGCCGGGGAGGGCAGGATATACCGCCTCGGGCCCGGGCGGGGGGGACCCGGACGGGGGGACGGCGGGGCTGAACTCACTCGCCCCCAATCGCTTCTTGCCCGCGGACTTGGGCCCGACTGGTTGGCTGCTAGTGCTAAACGTGATCTGGGGCAGACTGGGTGGCACCCCCCCCATCAAAAATAGGTTCGGGATGGACAACGGCAGCGACCAATCGGGGGCCGGGCAGGGGGCGGGCTCAGCCTCGGCGCGGCCCCTTTCCTTCGCTTTGTGCCCGGGAGGCGGGGCGCCGGCGAAACGCGGTGCGAGGAGTGACGGGAGATGCGGGCCGGCGGCCGGTGCCGCGAGCTCGCGGGTCCCCTCGCCCGGCGGCCGGCGACCCGAGGTTCCCGCTGCCCGGCGCTCGCGGCGCAGGGCAACCTCCTCCGGGGCCGCCCCGCCGGGAGCCCCCCTACGCCCTTCTAGGGCGTGTGCGCCTGTGCGCGTTTCCTCGCGCATCTTGAGTGTTTCCTCCAGCCTGTGGCCTTCGGGAAGACCGGGAAGCGTCGGTGCGGAGCCAGCCAGCTCTGACCCCGCGGGCTCAAGCAGCCATCCCCGTGCTCCTTCCCGCGCTCGGCACCCGGAGAGAACCGTCCCCACCTCGTTCTTGGACACAGCCCCTCTCTTGTTGGCTCGGCACCTCGCGCTGCCTCCGGAGCCCGCGTTCCTCTAAGCAAATGGCTCAGCCCTGACGGAACCGGCCTTAATAACGTCCCAGTTTTGGAAGGGGTGGGGATGGGCGGGCGGGAGGGAAAAGAGGTCAGACTCGCGCCTGGGGTCCCACGAGGCACCACCTGAGGGAGGTACCGGGGGCGGGGGGAGCGTGGCTTCCTCTGACCCACTGATCTTGGTGGCAGCATAGGGGAGAGAAGTCTCCATCCCGGGCTAAACGAAATCCAACTTTCCCTGACGCACCTTGTGGCATCAAAGAGGGGTGTTCCCATCTCGCCTTTGCCACTTCCTCCCTGGGGTATCTCCACCTCTGCAACGCAAACTCAGTACCAGCTCTCTTTGGGATGTTTTTGTGCAGGGGGTGTGACCTACCCCAGAAAGGAACTGCCACCCCCCAGGTTTTCCCCTCTTGTCAGTGGAACCTGTGACCAGTGGTTCCTTCCTGCCCTTTTCCACGGGAAAGGTGGCTCAGGGGGCATTCTAGGTGACTCCAGACCACTGGATGGGTTTTGGAGCAGAGATGGGCCTGGAGAGAGGAGAACATAGTACTGTTGGCTGTCCTTTCCTCTCTCAGACACACAAGAACACACACACAGCAACCTGAGCAGGTAATTCCTTTGGACGGGGTGACAAACATGAGCAACCTGGCCCCCCACCTCCCACTCTAGTACTTAGGATTAATGCAGTTTAGCTGCTAGGACATTTGCATCAAGGGCCTGCAGTGTCACAGGATCTCTATAGGAAATGTCAGTGTATTAGAACTCCAATTTTGGGGGCGCCTGTGTGGCTCACTAGGTTAAAAGTCTGCCTTCAGCTCAGGTCATGATCCCAGGGTCCTGGGATAGAGCCCCTCGAAGACTCCCTGCTCAGTGGGGAGTTTTCTTCTCCCTGTCCCTCTGCCCCTCCCCCGCTCCTGCTCTCTTTCTCTCAAATAAAAAAAAAAAATCTTAAAAAAAAAAAAAGAACCCCAATTTTGGCTTCCAACCCTGGGTCTCTTTGCCTGGAGACAAAAGTAGCTGCTAGACTAGGAAACAGTGGGCTCTATACAAAAGGATCCGTTTTTGAATAGGGGGTGTAGGATTAGGTGGGAAATTAAGGCTGATGTATCTGGGGACTTTTCAGTCAGGGGCTGGAGACAGTTCCTATCCTGTCCCGTTCAACAGTCTTCTCTGCTGCTTTAAATCGGTGCCACAGCTCAGCCGCCTATGCAAAATCTTGAGCTCCCCCTATTCCCTCCCCACTTTCCATTTTTTACCCACCTGAAAACAGTTCGCTTCTCCTGTGGGTTTTGTTGTTGTTTTTAATCAAAGTATACCAGACATGTGTGAAAATGCACAAAGCCTAAGTGTACAAGCCAACAAATTATGACAGTCAACATACCCATATAACTGCGACCCAAATCAAGAATTAAATCGTTACTGGAATCCCAGAAGCCCTCCTCACTTTCCTACCCCACCCTCTTTACCAAAGGTAACCTCTAACACCATAGAATAGTTTTGCCTGGTTTTGAACTTTATATAAATGGAACCATTTGTGTAGGTATTATTTTGTGTCTGGATGCTCTCAATATTATATTTGTGAAATTCATGCATAACACATTGTGGTAGCAGTGGCTCATTCATTTGCATTGCTTTACTGTATGGCATTAAATGAACATACTATAACTTACCTGTTATTTTGTGGGGTTTTTTGTTTGTTTGTTTTTTAAGTAGGCTCCATGCTTGTGGAGCCCAGCGCCGGTGAGTTCAAGACCTGAGCTGAGATCAATAGTCAGATGCTTAACCGACCGAGGCACCGAGGTGCCCCTGTTATTCGGTTGATGGACATTGGAGTTGTTTCCAGTTTGGAGTTATTATGAATAACACTGCTATAACTATTTTGTTCGTGTCCTTTGGTACATTTCTGTTCATATTTCTGTTGGATATATACCTAGGAACAGAATTACTAGGTCATGGAATAAGCCTATGTTTAGTGTTAGTAAATGCTCCTAAATAATTTTTTCAACTGCTCATGTTAATTACACTCCTGCCAGCATGTCTTAGAGTTCCAATTACTTCACATTTTCGGCAACACTTTGTTTAGTCAATCTAAAAAGATTTAAAAATTTTAGCCATTCAGGTGGGTACATAGTGGCATCTCATTGCAGTTTAAATTTACATTTCCCTGATAACCAGTGAGGTTAATTAAGCACCTTTTCATAT